TTAAAAAAATTAAGACACTATTTTAAATAAAGAAAAATTGTGAGGCACGACCATTCACTGGACATTAATGTCAACCAAATAAAGTCTTCATAGTTATAATCTAAACGTTTTCTAAAATAGATGTTCCAATTAGAGACAAAATTATTAAATAATTTTGCTAAAAATTCTTTGTATTTTCTTGAAATGAGTTATATATGTTATATTAGCTTTCGTTTGGGACATCTTTTGACAATTACTCGCTCTTTGTTGTTTTAAAAAAATTATACAAATAAAAAAAATAGTAAGAAAATTATCGCAAAGGAAGCCTTAGCTGCAAAAGTACATAATTGAGTCTAGAATAATTAAAAAAAAAAATAGTTCCAGGGATTTCAAAAAAGCTAAAGATATCATGGCCTAAAATTATGCTTAGAAGGAAGCTGGTGGGCTCGGACATCCAGGCAGCAGCACCCATTGGCGTAGGCATGAGAAACGCATTCTGAGCACTTATCGTAGGCTTGCTAAGTCTTTTTTTTTTCTTTATAAAAAATGTTTATTAAATAAACATTTCAATAAGAATTTTTTAATTAAAATGTAAAGACATTTCTATTTATGAACACATTTAATTGCCAAAAATTTACCAAAAAAATTATTAAAAAATTTTAAAATTTTAGAAAATTTAGACAAATTTTAGAACTATTTTAAATCTTTGACTTTCTCTAAATAAGTTAATTATCCTAAAAATTTATTGGAGTTCATGCTAGAGATGATGACACTAGAACTCGCCCTTGATGTGGCGATGCAAAGATGATGATGAAGTCTCCCAAAAATATTAGAAATTTATTTAGTCTACTGATTTTTTATTTTGGCATGATATTCTAGTTTATTTATATACTTCTTCTCATAAATTTTGTTTATCATGTCCACTCTATGTTTTTCCCAGAAATTTTTTCGATTTTGTTTTGTGGAAAGAAATTTATTTTTTGAATGTGTCGATACAATTATAATATTTTTACTTTTGTTGAATTTATGCGGTCACATCAGTCCTCAAAAAATTTTAAAATTTATTATTAATGTAGATGTCATCCTTAGCTATTCTCTTGAAAATTTTTTTATAAAAAAAGCTTTTATTTTTTTTTAAATAAAACACAGATCTATTAATCAAAATAAAAAAAACGGTTACAACAGCAAAAGGAAGGAAATAAAAACAAAAAAAAAGACAGCCTCTCAAAACAAAAAAACCCCGGGAACAAGCAAATCCAAAAAACCCGGGGGCTCAGTAGTCGACCGAAGCTACAAGCAACCTCGAAACTGCACAAGGACCATCCAATAGAGGTTGCCACAAGGAGGCGACGAGGAAACGAGCCTCGGCCACATCATTGCCCTGCAACCAACATTCGAACCGAAAAACAATCCGATCAACCGTAAATACCGAATCATCTTCTTCGACCACCTCTTCCCCAAAATTTACCACGACAATGACCAGAAATAGGTCTATCACGAACCATTTTAAATTCATTTCCAGTATCAGAATAAGAATCAAAATCAGAATCACACTCCGACGAATTGTGCAACCAATCACCATGTGATCTAACATCCACACCAGTCGTACCACCCACCTGAATCATTAACGAATGGGAAGCAATTTCATTTACGGGAACTTCCACCAACTTATGAGAAACAACCAAATTTCCTTCATCAACCGGACGCTCAGAGGGAACAGGAACCCGAATCGGTTCACCGTGCTCAACTAGCACAGGGCTAGACAAAACACAACTATTATCAATCAAACCCCTAGCTTGCACAGCCTCACCACACATCAACTGAGTCGAAGTCATCGGAACCAACCCAGAATCCACCGCGTGATTTACAGAAGAGGTTACAAAATCAGTTTCTATCGGATTAGCAGAAATTAACAAAGGATTACCCGGCAAACCCTCCAAACAACCACTCTCCAAACCAGAGGGTAAGAAAGGCATAGCATTAGGAGAAAGGTCCTTAGAAACCATTTCAGAAATAGCAACCCAAACGTTAGGAATGACCGTTTCATCCCTAGCTAAAACAGAGTTCACCAAATTAGGCACAATCAATTCATCTTGAATCCCAACATTCGATTCCAGAATAACCGGGGAGACAGTTTTAGCATTAGGTTCTACAGTTTTGGTTAAAACAGACGAATCTAAAGTAGCATTTTTAGATCGACATTCACCCACTGCATGGCCGAAGCAACGACATTCACCACAAAAAACAGGAAAATCATCCATTACAACACTTTGCACATAACCATGCTTTTCTGAACCCAACCAAATACGATTAGGATAGGACTTAGTGATATCCAGTTCAACTAAAACCCTAGCTACAGACGATCTAGAACCCAAAGACGTAGCCGAATCAATTTTAAGAGGCTTACCAAAAATGGAAGCCAATCCATGTAGAATTTTAGGGGAAAAAAGATGCGGCCGTAAAGAAGGGAAAGATACTCAGATCGGGATTTCAGAAGATTCAACCCCTATTTCAACATAAGGAGACCATTTCGTAATTTTCATAAAGCAATTGAAAACCAGGTAGGATCTATGACAGAAGACACGACAATAATCCAGGTCTTGTTCTAATTTCATAAGCACATGAGACGAATCCAGCAAAGTGACTGAATCATCACCATTAAGCTTAAGATTAGAGAAAAAGCTTTTATTTGATAGGGTAGAAAATTTCTTGACAATAACTTTATCAAATCTATCATTTTGTTGTTTAAATATTTTTAAAATCCATAAAGTTTCCTTTTTTTAATATTATTATCATATTTATTATACTTTTTCTTTCAATTTATACTGTGTTTATATATTTCAGTTGCCACTAAAGATAGATTTTCACTTGATATCGATATCAAATATTAATATTGGCGATGTCAGTCATCTATGACGGTGTTGATCCTATTAAAAATATTTGAGATATGATGCAATTTAGGTAGAAAAGTTATATATTTAAATATTAGAACAAATTTCAAGAGGGAGGAAATTGCTCCTTGAAAGCTGAGGTAGGAGTTTGAATATTTGGAGACTGTAAAAAACTCCAAGAATTCTCTCGTAAAGTTAACGAAGTATACGCTAATGTCATGCATGTCGATCTAGTAATTCTATATAAGACTTTAAAATAAAACTTCTTATTTGTCCAAACCTTGAACGTGTATTTTTTCATATACTAATATATTAGCTTCACTAATATTTACACTCAAGTTATTTAAAGTAGTGATGATAAACTCAATCTTCACATAAAAGTGATCTAAAATTTTTGAGAACTTGCCTCCAATAAAAGACTAAATCTTGTATATATCTTTGATATGTACTTGAAATCTCTAGGTCTTAATATAAATTTAGTATATTGTAGTTGAATCTTTGAGTTAACAAAAATATTTTGCCCATAGTTGGAATGTAGGTACACCAATTCATTTGATGATACAAACATTATCTTAGATCATGTAATCTATGAGGATTTTGAATCAACTTGTATTTATGCCATCTTTAGATGAATAAAGATTATGTATCTTCTTAGGCTTGTGTTTTTTAGATTTTTATGATAGAAGCTATATATCTTCTAAGATTTGTTTTTGATATTTTTTAAAATGGTTTGTACTTTTTAAAACTTATGGATTCTGAGATTTTTGTATATAACAAGTTCCTTCCAAGGCTTATGCCGTTTGAGAGTCTTAAAGAACTTATAACCTTTTATGCTTATGCATTTTTTCTTAGTTTTTTTAGAAAGAACATTAACCTTATGAGGCTTATGCCTTCTAAGATTTTTTGATAGAATCTCTATATTCTAAACTTTGTGCATTCTAAGGGTTTTTCAATGGAATATATACCTTGCGAGGCTTGTTTATTTTAAGATTGTAGATGAGTGGAGATATTATCAACCACTTACTCTTCTGAAATCTTTCTACTAAGGATTCTATCCATTACTAATTTCCTATCGAGACTTTCTTATAAGCATGCCTTTTAGGTGTTTAGAGTAGAGATATTGTCAAACTCTTATGCTCATAGGATCTTTTTAAATGAAATGATAAAATATAATAATATTTATAAAAGGAAAACTTACTTAAAATATTGTCTTTAGATTCCTCCAAGAAGAGATTACAGCTTGGTTATTCTAAAAATTCAAATGAGATGAGGAGCTTGATTTTCTTGTGTTTGTTTCATTATGAGAATCTTCCTATTAGATATACTTGATATTCTGAAACAAAATGTGAGAGAATTATATTAGTCGGAGATAAAGACTCATCAAAGAAATGATGAGGAATAAGTTCATTCCTACCCTTAAAGAAAATTTTCCTAAATAATGTGTATAGGTTTTTCTTTTATAACATCATGAGAAGTGCAATATGATAGGTTTGATTCATGATCACTAAGGATGTTGAAAGATTACAACTTAAATTGAGTAACATAGAAGGATGGGCTGAACTATATTGTCCAAGAAATTATAATGTTGCTATGCCGAAGGAGAAACTATTACATGATAATGAGTGGGCGCTATATAGGTAGCATCAAAATTGATTAGCCCTAACTTTATATTAATTTTATGGAGAGAGCTTCATCGTGTTGTGATGGCGCTCATTATTGTCTAGCTTTTTTTTAAAAGCTGAAAGATTTG